TGGATGGTGGTGGTGGTGGTGATGGGGCATGCATATGTGCAAAAACGTGAGTATGTGTGTTGGTGTGGTGCAAGTAGTGATGAAACACATTCTGCAGTGTGATATTTCCAACACTGACGAATTCCACACATCTCCACCACACATGGGAGCAATCTAAACTCAAAGCCCTGTCAGTGTGTGAGTGTGCGTGACAATTGCTCTCCAGCCACGAGCTGCTATTCTTCATATTGCTGTCAGCCACTCTTCTTCTTCCTCTGTTCCCCCAAAACAACATACACAAAATGATTGTATTTGTCTTTATCAGTCCCTCCATTCTCTGGGCTCCTCCTTGAGTTCGCTCTCCTTCGTTCAATATTTCATGCTGCTGAGAGCATATCTATTCTGAGCTCTCTTTCTTTCTTTCAGCACTCTTTTCCTCTTCATGAAGAAAAGAAAGTCTTTCTACCCATCATTCTTTCTGTCCTTCCACTCTTTTTTTAAACACCATAACCCCCCACCCTACACTTCACCACATGTGCCACACTACACCCTAAACTCTATATCTCATTGGACTCCTAATGTTCTGTGCCCCCATCAAAGTTTTTCCTCCCTCCTCCGTCCTGTCAATCCCTTCCTCTCTCCATCCCCTCCGCTGAATAAGTTTGCGTGACTGTTCAGAAGTATCAGCTCCACTTCTCCTTCCTGTAACCCCCCCACCCTCCCAGACCTAACTCCTTCCCTTTTCCCTCTTGGATTCCTCTGCAACCAAAAACACAGAGAAAGCCCTGTTCACTCTCTTTTTGCACTTCTCTTATTTTTGCATCTCCACCTCCCCTCCAGCCCCCTCATCCACATTAGTGTCACCTCTCCTCCTTCCCCCCCTCATCCACCCATGCTCATCTCCACCCCTCCCTCTTTCTTTGCCCCGACCTCCTCCTTGCTCTTAGCCTGTATCGGTGTTGTTTTAGGCACAGCAGTGAAAGGTAAACAGAGAAATTGAAAATTCGTGTCAGTCACTCGGGTGAAAGAGGGACAGGGAGGGAGGGAGAGCAGTGGAGGTGGTGAGGGGGCTGACAGAGGAGGGAGGGGGGAGGGAGAGTGTCAGTACAATTTACTAACACAACAGTGAACAGCGAAGCAGGCCAAGGAGGAAAGCGAGCATTAGGCGGGAGAGAGAGACTCCTGAGTTAAGAAATCCATCGCCATAAGACGGATGTATCATACCAATGGAAAATGTTTCCTGTTCCATATTTAGGAATCCCACCGAGCTCACATGTGCATTGTTTATTTCCTCCCAAATCGAATCATTAGAGTTAGGAGAAGGCTCTGATTAGATTCCAAGGTTTCACTCAGGACTTCTGGACACATGTGTTGTGTGCCAGCACTGGGCTGGAAATGTCACAAGAGCTCCAGCTTTAGTCAGGCCATGAGGTTATTTCTCATAAAGACCCCAATACAAAAGTAATCCAATGGCTTTGCTCTCCAGGCCTTAAAGGTAAAGCAGAAGTTTTTTTCTCGAGCAAAACCTGTGAAATGCAGTAAAATAGGGTATTCAAAGTACAGCTGAAACCAGATGTGTTTGCAAACACTGCATAAAATAATAGATTACCTATGTTTTTCTCTCTTCTATCAGACTAAAGTTGTTTTATGGTTAATAATATGGAGAGAGAAAATATATATTGTGCTTGAAATTTGATATTTATATAAAATGTATTTGTTTAAAATTGCTTAGACTATAAATGCTTTAAAAAACCCAACAATTGGCTTTGTAAGTTTCTGGTTTAAGCTGAATTAATTTAAAAAAGACAAATCAAAAAAGACGAGGAAGAAAACTGTTGACTTTCACAGCTCTGGATCCCGAGGAACAATTTCCAGATGTGTGAAGTTGTAATCTTCCACTTTTTAAGCAGTTATCTGCAGATTTTAACACCAAAGGGGCGTCCAGCTATGCTGTTCCAGATGGATACAGGTTTTGTGCCCCCAGAAGTGACGAAATGTGAATGAAAATGAAGAAGAAGCAAAAGGCCTGCTGACTGAAGCAGGTAAGAGAGTAAAACAGGTAAAACAGATGTAGTATAAAATGCAGCTAAGTGAGGGAGAAAATACACAATAAAAACTCCAACATCCTGCAAAAAGATAGGAAATCTGTCCTATAGCTGTGTTGCTGTTGCGAGGATTGTGCTATTGTCAAAATAATCAGTAAATATGCAGAAAATGTCCCCTTTTTAACTACATTATTTAAACTGAAATACACAGAATCCATACCATTTTTCCTTGTAGATAAATCTCTAGGCAACAGTGGCCGGTAAGTGCAAAAAAATATTACATTATCTGATAAACTTGAACACTTTTAAAAGTGTTTTGTCAAACTTGTAAAAGTGTCTCACTTCCTGTCCACCGTACCAGCCTGAAGCCTTGGCTTAAACCAGTAAAATGAAGAAAACCACTGCTCATTAAAATGTTTTTTATCTGACACATATTCCTCAGTTTAAAAAATCCAACAGATGAGAGGGAAAGGTTTTAGGATTGAGATTAAAATCTGGTTTTGTTATTCTTGCTACTTTGTTACTTTTATGAAAACCTGGACAGATAATCTTTTTTTTACCTAATTGTGAATTCAGAAAGAAAAGATATACATTGATTTTATATTTACATGTTTGTCTTGTTGCAGAGGTGGGTGTGATCGTAATTGTTTTAAGCTAAAAGTACGTTGTTGTTTTTGTTACTTCAAACTTCATGGAAACAAAAAATAAAGAATACAAAAACATCTTGTACATGGATTTAGCAAACTGAGGTAATGAATTTTATTTCTATTTCACCCTCTGGCACCTAGCGGACCCCAGAGATATGTACCTTGAGTAAATAATTTTCTGTGGTCTGTCAGATTTGATCCCAAGGAAAAACGGTTTTGGTCGCCTGGAATACACAATTCAGTCAAAGAGGGACAAAATGATAGAGCAGAAATGGTGAGCGGTCATAAAAATATTCCATTTCTCCTGTCTAACAGAGAGATGGAAAAAGAGGCAGGAGCAGAACAGACAAGAAGACCACTGGGGTCCAAATACAGAGCCAAACTAGCACAGCCAGAAAACTGGGATCACACTGTGGAAAGAAACAAAAAAAAAGTTTTCAGCCTCCCTGAATAAGGTGAGGGGAGGAGGAATCAGAACGGGGGATTTAATGGACAGCTCATGAGAGGAGTGGAAGGACTGGAGGAGACAAAGGGATTCCCCGATGGCATCTCATCTCATTTCTTTCTTCCTTTTTTACTCTTCTTCTCCCTATTTCCCTCCTTTTTTCTCCCAATAAATCATTCTGACTTCTCCTTAACCAACTCATTCCCAGCAGGCAAAAAGAAAACTGTAACAATCTCACTCCTATATAGTAGTCCTCTCTTCTCTCTCCGTCCCTGTCTCTTCTCCAGTCTGCCCTTTGTCTCACAACAAATAACACTCAGAGAGTGGAGGTGTGGGGCATTTACATTTAGCCAAGTCATCAGACATCTATAATTTACTTCAATAAGAACAAAGATTTGTTTAAATTTCAACGCCATGCATGTCTACAACTTTTTCATATTTTATCATATTACAGTACAGATAGACATGAATGAATATGGCTTTTCTTGCCTCAGTGCAGGGCTGGCCAAAGCTTTGAAGGGGCCCTAAGCCATTTATGATTTTGGGGCCCTCTAATTCGGCCATATGGATATATGCCTAAATGTATCACCAAGTGATGCCAAAAGTGATCAAATAACCTAGTACAAATTTACAGTAAAAGGGTCATTTTTCAAAAGAGCTGCAACAGCAATATATAAAAATAATCCGTGGTGCAAGACCAATCATAAACAACAACAACAACAAAAAAATCCAAAAATGTGCAAAAACAGGCATATTTAAATAAAATAAAAATAAACAGTGAAATATCAATCACATACTTAAATGATGTAAATTAAAAGTAACCTGAAACAAGGTAAAATCCTTTAATGTTGAATACTTAATCCTTAAAACTATATAAAAATACCTTTACTATATAAAAATACCTTTACTTAAAAAATAAATTACATTTACCAACATTTGATTAAATCTAAATTCATTCAAACATATTTGAAGCCTAAAAGATTGTCTGCCAGACCAAAATAGACTGAAGAAAGAGCTTACTTTGCCATGTTAGGAAAAACATGGAGTGGATGCAGCGCTTCTTCCTCTCAGTTATTTGTTTTAAATAAAGCATCTCTAATGATGTGACCCTCAAAAAATTACAATAAAAAATAAGAAATAGATCCTTAACCTTTCTTTTTAGTCCAGTGGTTTAAGACTTCTGGCTTGGATCAATAAAATCTTGTGCTGGAATGGTGCTGAATTATTTCGACATTATGTAGAAGGGTGAAAACAGCTTACTGATGGAGCTTAAACAAACCTAACAAAACATTTCAGTCAAACCACATGTAGCTGCACTTAAAATCAAGAAGTGATTAAAATAACACATTTGTTTCTTCTCTTTCCAAATCAACACATATAGGTACATGGTTGCACTATTTCCAAATGTGAAAAAGTTCAATATAATCTAAATAAAAGCCTATAATGCTTCTGCAAGCCAGTTCATTATTTATGCATGACAAAAAAAGGTAAATTTTTATTCAGTTATTTGGTAAGTCACAGTTTCCCAGAGGGACTTTCCTTCAAGAGGAGTGAAGTTGAATCAAACTCACCAACAATGTTTGAAAGGAAATCGATGAATTTAATCTAAGGATGCTTTAACAGTTTTTTTTTTCTTTCATTAAAGGAGTAGTTATGCAGGACTACATGCGTGAGCTACAGTAGTGAAAAGGATGCACATTGGTGGAAAACATGATGATGATCTCTGGCTCACATAGATAGGGGTGCACCTCTGCAGCATCAGAGTGATGCGATCATTGAAGTCGCGCTGATGTCCGGTGATGCGCTGCAACTCGGCTACAAATCTTGGAGGAATGCGCCTTTTTTTCAGTCCCTCGCTGGAAGGGGGGTGGAGTTATAGAAAGTGAACGAGTGCTGCCTACCAAGCAGTGAGGGAGAAGGAGGAGAAGGAGGAGAGGAGCGACGTGTGGGCAGCCTGCTCACCGCGCGCAATGCTTGGAGAAAGGAGGAAAGCTTGAGTTTGGTGCTGCTCAGCTGCACATCTGAGATCATCTGCGCGTTTATTGGAAGTAAAGGAAATGATCTTTAGCATATAAAAAAAGAGAGAAGGACTTCATTGAGTATTTTAAAATTGTAGCTCATTCATTAAATCAAACTGCGCGCAGCTCTTTCTCGGACTGATTTAAAGACCCTGGAGAAGCAGCGAGCTGCGTCACTTCTCCAGGGGCCCCAGCAGCAGCAGCGGTTCCCCGGTGACAGGAGGGGAGGTGGGGGGGACTGGAGAGGTGCACGGCTCTGTTATAAACACGGACCATAAACTCCGCTTTTTGAAGCTCTGCAGGAGGAAGGAGAAGGTTCGCACTCTGGTTTCACAATACTTTTTAAAAAAAGCAGCATCTCTGAGAGCATAGCCCGTCCTCTCTGCCTTTTTCTATTGTTTTCTTTTTTAATGTCCTCCTTCTCGCCTGTTAGGCATTGCTGGGATGTTGGAGTCGCGCTGTTTGGTGGAGTGACCGACAGAGAGAGAGAGAGAGTGGCCGCAGAGAGCGAGAGAGGAGCCGGGAGCATGGCTCTGGCAGCGCTGTCTCTCTGGGTGCTCACTAGTCTCACCTGGGGCCGCCTGCTCCAGGTGTCAGCCAACAGGCACTCCGTTTACTGGAACAGCTCCAACATACAGTAAGATCTCTATTGTTACACTCCCCTCTTCATTCATACCGACAAACACTTTTTATGCATTTTTCTGATCCTTTTGCATGTTGTTTAATTTTTAAATACACGCGCACATTTCATCCTTCTTGATGGAAGCCCTCCACAAAGCCCCTAAAAAAGAATAAAAAATAAATAAATAAAAGCTATTCTTAACTCCTGCCCTGCCAGACCCCTACTGGGTGGTCAAGGTGCATCTTTTCAACACCTTCTGCTCTGCAGCTGCTCAGACATATTTCTATTCCTGCTGCTTTTGAACATTTCATTCACTCTATATCCATGCAGAGAAATATGGAGAGGACGGGACTCCTCCAGCTCTCATCTCCTCTGTCTTACTGTCTTCTCTTCTGTGAGATTCAATTAGGAGCACTTCTTCATGCTGACCCCATTGTGTTGCAGCAGTGTCACTATTCAATCTCTCTCTCTTCAAGTTGCTCCTTTCCATTCATCCCTAACCCCCTTTTACTTGTTTGCACACAGAGCCTCAGTTATTTTGTTATCCTCCTAATCCTTTTTTTTTTTTTTTTGTATATTTTACTTCTGAGTCTCTATGCACGCCTCTCTTCCACTAGATCTATAAGAATGTAGCACCAGTCTGTAGCTGGATAGTAAAATCTTGCACACATGTATTTCTATATAAAACAAAAGACATTTGGATGCAGTTTATCTAAAGTCTTTGAACGTTTTTTTTCTTGATATCCAGCATGCACATTGATTTATGGTGTATTTCTGTTGCAAAAACTGTCTTGGCTTCACTTCCTGGAGTCTTTATCTTTTCCTCTACATGCGTCCAGAGTCCTGACTCTGAATGGTTTTTCATATAGACATCGCTCAGAACAGTTAGTGTGTTATTCTAGTAAAAGAATAAAGGTTTTGCTCTTATAGGGGCGCAAACATCATGAAAGGGCTTGATACCACATGCTGTGGTTTCCGGACAGAGGGGACATAGATTAGTGTTTCAGCTGGTATCAACTCCAGCTGCAGGGCAGTAGTTTTAGCTTTAAAAAAAAAAAACTTTTAGAGGTAAGATTTTTTTTTTGTAGCTTACAAAAGGACTGCTGTAGTGGATGAGGTAGCAGAAGGTCTTTGAGAAGTGATTTTGGGAGGATGACGGGAAAAGGCTGAACACGCTGCTGATGTGTTTTAGCTGAAATGCTGCTTCTCTCTACTTAATTTCAGTTTCAACCCCCACTCTCAAAAAATCTGCCTAAATTTTGGCTACAGGTGTAAATATAATACCACTTCAACTTTTTAAATCGGAGACAGAAGTTAGCTTTTATAAGTGGTGCTTGAAAGGATTGAGTAGTGCAAGGAGATAGACGTCCACACAGTTGGCGAGGCGTAACTCGAGCAGTGCTAACCTTGAAGAAGCATGCGCCAAATTCAGCCGTTTGTCTGCTGATATTTGCAGGATATTCACAGCCAGCAGGTGTTTTTTTTTTCTTCTCAAGAAGGATAAATTAGAAGCCCCTGAGCTGCTCTAACCTTTAACCTGACTGTCTTGAACCTGAAGTGTGTAAAGCAGCAGTTTCTTCCCCCTTCCCTCTTATCTCTACAGCTTTCCTCCCACAGGCGGAATATTCTTAGCCAGTACAGTGTGAGTGACTTTTACAATGAAAAAAAAAGAAGAGGTGGTTAATTAAATAACACTGTGGTCTCTGTCGACCTGTCTGATCTATGATCCTAAAATCCCAGCATTTTCTTTTCCCTCACTATGAAAGCCACTTGAACAGCAATAACTATTTTTAGAGATGCACTGATCAATGGTTAGATAATAGAATCTGCAAATTTATTTATGATCAGCTCTGATTAGCAATCAACAAATTTTAAACTGAAACATTTTATTTTTTTCCTCTCCTTAAAACTAAGATGTACCCCAATTTACAAATACATATACATTTGCAATAACGTACTTTAACTGTAATATGCAATTACCTTTCACTGCACTTAATTTTTTTTTTTAGATAGCTTCTGTCCAAACTTTATTTATTCATTTTATAGTAATATCCACCTGTATATTATATTCGGTACATATCCAGCTGTAAATTTAGTTCATAACACTAGTTATCTATTATATTCATAGGACAAATCTATTAGTAAGATTCTGTTTATAATGGTATTCATCTCTATATTTATTCAGTAGAAACCCATGTCCTGTATTTATGGAACCATTATTTATCCTGCACTTGCTGCTATTGCACTTCTGGTTAGACCTAAACTGCATTTTGTTGCCTTGTACCTGTACCTGTGTAATGACAATAAAGTTGAATTTAATCTAATCTAATTTCTTGGACTTTCAATCAGAAGTTTTCTATTGAGTTTGTCAAATATCAGATGTAGGTTTGGAAAAGTCATTGATGCATGAATAGGAACAATCTCTGAACTCCTTTATTTTCTGGGAGATTCAGAAGCTCATATTTTTTCATATGGATTGTAACCCCCTCCCACAAAAAAACAAAAAACAGATAAATACATAAATATATATTAGAATCATTCAACTTCCCCTGGATCAGACCTGAATGGTGATCAGAGCGTCAAAACAGAGCAGAATCTTTTGTTTGTTTAATCTGTTCAGAAATAACTGCTAGAAATATGTCTTTCACTGTGATGCTGGTTCAACAGAATCAGCTGCTTGGCTCTCATATTCAGATTTTCCTCTCTGTTCAGGATGAAAGGACTTCTAAAAAAATTTAAATCGGCATTTACTTATTTCATATACAGAGATAAAACACAACGTGTTCTTGTTTTAGAGTTGAAAATCTAAAGTGTCCATATAAAAAAACAAGTAAGTTAAAAAATATTTTATTTTTTATTTCAATGTCATGGAAACAAGTCACAAGGTATGTATAAGGAGAGACAAAAAAACACAGCAAGAAGAAGATCAGAGCGGTTGTTTGTCAGATTATCAATTTTGTTTTATTTATACTGAAACACAGAGATAAATTATGTTGTTTCTAAAAAAAAAAAAAAGGAAAAAAAAAAAAGAAAATAAGAACAAGTACTAAAATTAATAAATACCAGTAAGCCAACCCAAACCAACGTACATTGTGTTCCCTCTAGGGGGTGCAGCCTAACCTTTGCTCTATGGAAAAACACTTCTTTAAATCCTCAGGTCAGGCCCAAAGACTGTCGGTCTGAGTGTTGCCTCACTAACATCCCTCCCAGATCTACCAGCCGTACCTAATTAGCAAACAAAGAACCATGAATACCGGCAGGCAAAAAGACTGATAAACAGCAGAAAAAGCTGTTTAATCTCCTCTTTTATACAGAAGACATATTTTTTTTTTCTGTTTCTCAGATTCCACCATTTATTTAAATCTCTGCCATCCAACAGTCGTAGGCATGGCTGGCATGCCATCCAGCCACTGGCAGTCAGTCTCCCTGGAGTTCCTCTAACTCACAGCGTAGTGCGGAGGCTTGCAAGGCCAATAATAAGCTGTACTATTGCTGTCAGTTTGAGCAGTAAACACATTGTAAAGCCTCAGGATGCTTCAGCTTCCCGAGCAGCTTCTAACCCTGGGCCACTCATCAACCACAAGAAACAGGCAGCCAAGGATTAACAACCTCACGCACTTACCCATGCATGCACGCAGATGCATGAAGCTGTGCAAATTCCAGCACGTTAACTCCCGTTTCTGTGGTTTTCTGTCCTATTAGGGCATACAAAGTGTCTGTAGATGTGTGTTTATTTGAGTGGGAGTAAGTGTTTGGCCCTGGTGTAGATGTCTCTGCCCACTGATGGGTGACAGAAACAGAAACAGATCCATCCGTCCGTTAAATCACATATTATCTTCCACCACCTGGCAATTAACCACCACTGTGAGCATCCGTATACATGTGTACGAGTGTAATTCAATAACAGAGCCGTTAACTTGATTAGGGATATCTCTCAATTTATCACTTGCAGATTTTGCAAGTGATTATGTTCCTTTTTTGTTGTTTTTTTTTTTTATGTTTATTTTGCATTAGTGCATTCATCCATGAAGGTGGCAGGTCATTGAAACATGGCCAGCTGTTGCTAGCACATTTAAAAAAAAATAATATTGGGCTTAACTATGAATTGTAATTAATCTCAATCTTGAAACGGTTTTCTACTCATTTGGAGAGAATGAGGAGAGATGCTTAATGTGGAGCTGGAGAGAAGTAATAAAAGGAGTGACGCTGTGGGAGGAAAGAGTAGTGAAGTCAAGAAAGATTCAGGCACATTTTGGAGCAGAATTACAGTAGAAGGAAGGGATAAAAGTCAAATTAATGATAGTAGTGACACTCAGCAATGGGCAGATGTTTATTTATTTTCATTTTTTTTGAAGGTGCATTCAATAAGGAATACAGTAGAAGTCAGATTTGCCGCCACTTGCTTAACAAAGGCAACCCACCTTGCTTTCCAGATGACTTAAGAACAAAAAAATTTCTGCTGTTAGAAATAGTTTTAGTCAAAGAGCTTTACCGTGTACAAAGATTACTGTAAGCCACCGTTTGTTCTAATCACACGGCACCAGATCACCAGATCATTTATTAGTGATGAATAATAAGGCAGCGCTGCCTAAACGTGTCAGTGGACCTGAGTTCCTGGGTTTGTGTAGATGCTTTGCACTTAGCCTTTAACTGAAAACAGTGGGGACCTCATGCTTGATAGATCGCTGGTGTTTATATAATATGATTCAATGATGTTGACTCTTCCATCCTGCAGCAAGTCTCTTTGTGAAAGTAAAAAATATATATTTTTTCTGATTGGGAAGGTTCTTGTCTTGTAAAACAGAGGAGGAATGCAGGAAATGCATGCTAAAAAGGAGGAGGGGAGAAGTTTTGCCGACCCTTATTAACAAGCTGGATTCTTTTTCTTTGGACTGTGTTTGGCGGCTCTCTCATGAAGCCCTCTGTGGGAGGTGGTATTAAGTGTATCATTGCTTTTCTTTTCTACACCTAAACTTTATAATGCTTCTGCACGTTCAAGTGTTGTCCAAAGGCTT